GTGTTTCTTAGGTCAGGTGGTAGAGTTCCAGAGCAAAGGTGCAGAGCAGGTGAAGGCCCTGCTCCCCATGGTGGAGAGGCGGGCAGTGGGTACTTGGAGGTTTAGGGAAGAAGAGGATCTGAGAGAGCGGGAGGGGATGGAGATGTGTACGAGGTCGAATATGTGAGAAGGGGCAAGATGGTGGATTGCTTTGAACGTGAGAAGAAGAATTTTGAAAACGATCCGTGATTTGACCAGGAGCCAGTGGAGCTGCTGCAGGACTGGAGTGATGTGGTTATGGGAGGAGGTTTGGGTGAAGACACGTGCAGCCGAGTTCTGGACCATCTGAAGCTTATGGAGGGATTTGTTGGGGAGGCCAAAGAGAAGAGAGTTGCAGTAATCGATCTGTGAGGTCACAAGACTGTGAACAAGGATGGCTGTGGTGCGGGGTGTGAGAGAAGGACGGAGATGGTTGATATTTCTGAGGTGGAAGTATGCAGACCGAGCAACATTATTGATGTGTGCATTGAAGGAGAGAGTGATGTCAAGGATGACACCAAGGCCCTTTCCCAATCAGTGGCTATACACTCCCCCTACTCCCTACAATCTACACTCGCTGTGAAGCACCCTCGTAGTTGAACTTAGTCCCCTTGATGGTGCTGTATATACCCTCTGCTTTTGAGACGAGCTCTCCTCACACCACCGGAACAGGAAGCTGTTGTCACCATGGTAACAGTCCAACCTCTGGCAGCGGCTGAATGCTGAAGAACAAACGCTTTTTTAAATAGACCAAAGAAAATATTTAATTAGCCCCACATTTTAGAGAGTTTTCAGATATGACTGTATTTGTAACAAACACAGTGTGATAACTTGTCAAAATAAGTGCACTTTTAACATTTTTTAAATTATTTATTTTTCTTAATTTTTTTAAACGTTTCCTTTCTTCTTTTTTAAATGTGGACCATGGTTCTGTGTCTTTAATAAAGTTTTAATTGAATTAAACATGATTTATGTGAAATTACATTTGTCGGTGAGGTGTTTACTTAGTAAATATGTGTACAAAACATATGTGGAACTTGTATTTATATTTCCCGTCCTCCATGTCGACCACTATTTGGTGCTGCACCTGCTGATCAAGTCTGCATCGAATGTAGACTCGCTGTGGAGGGCTTAATAAGCCACTCGCCCTCGTACCTAATTGGTTTCAGATGGAACTTAATATGGCCAACCCTCCGCGGGAACGCTCAAACTGAGTGAGTAGGACATAGGGCGAGTGTGTAGCCACCGATTGGGAAAGGGCCCAAGACTCTTGACCTGAGGGGAGGGGGTTAGCAGAGAGTTGTTGATAGGGATGAGGAGATTATTAGATTTTGAGATTGAATTTTTAGTGCCGACAAGAATGATTTCTGTTTTATCACTATTCAGTTGAAGGAAATTGTCTGAAAACCAGTGATTGAGTTCATTGAGACAGAGAGGATGGAGGGAGGGTCTGTGGAGTTTGGCTTGGTTGACAGGTAGAGCTGTGTGTCATCGGCATAACAATGGAAACGGATACCAAATTTGCGGAAAATGTAACCAAGAGGAAGGAAGGAAGTAATGAAGAGAAGGGGTCCAAGGATAGAGCCTTGGGGCACGCCAGTGGAGATGGGGGATGACTCAGAGCAGAAGGATTTAATCTGGATGAATTGAGTGCAGTCAGAAAGATAAGATTTGAACCTGTCAAACACAGTACTTGAGATGCCAATGGATGTTAGTCTGTTGAGTAGAATAGAATGAGAGATCGTATCAAAAGCAGCACTTAGGTCAAGGAGGATGAGGATGCACTGTAAAAAAATGAAATGTTGGATTTACTTAACCATGTTATGTTACCTGGTTCCACTTAACTGAGTTGAGTAAATTCAAAGCAATATACCAGTTTTTTGGCCAAAGAACATGAGTATGTTGCTTTGAATTTACTCAACTCAGTTAAGTGGAACCAGGTAACATAACATGGTTAAGTAAATCCAACATTTCATTTTTAGAGTGTGGACAGGAGACCAGAGTCAGCAGCAAGGAGAAGATCATTGGTGATTTTTACTAGGGCGGTTTCGGTGCTGTGGTGGGGGAGAAAACCAGATTGAAACTCCTCATAAAGGTTATTGTTGGAAAGTTTATGGTCAATGCCTTCTTTAAAACAGCAAACGAAGATATTAATACATTGTTGAAGCTCTCACAGATCACATAAAATGCTGTGGTTGGCCACAGTTGGACTGTGGGCCTTGAGGTTGACGCATGGTACTTAATAAACATATTAAACTGAAAGATTTAAATTATCTTAATTTTTTTTGTTATCTGAAACAAGGGACAGAACTTGATTTAAAAATAAAAATCTCTGCTGTGACTCTCATCACTTTCTTCTTTCAGCAATACACATCCAGCTCCTCTGGAGGAGAAAGCTCCTGCGAGGAGGGTCGTATGCGTCGTCCGACCCACCTGCGCCCCTTCCATCATCGTGGCGACACCGACTCTGAACTGCCGCTGCTCAGACTGTCCAGCGACCCTGATGAATACTCCAGCAGCGAGCAGTCATGTGACACCGTGATCTATGTGGGTCCAAACGGGGCCGCTGTGTCGGACAGAGAGCTGACCGACAACGAGGGACCTCCAGAGTTTGTTCCCATCATTCCAGCTTTGCTGCAAAGAAAAACGTCAGAGCAGCAGCAAACACCGAGTCAAGGAACCAGAGTGCAGAACAAGGTCATTTGAATAAATAAGAAGATTGGAGTTTTGATAATAAATAAGCAATAATTACTTATATTTCAGTGATTTGTCCTCCATCCTGTTTGGTCTCAGACAGAGGAGCAGTCTGACGGCGCCTCCCAGCCTCTGTCGCAGCCCTCTCAGTCACTGCTCGGTCAGCCGTTGGCACCCGTCCCAGAGGAAGGAGCTGAATGCCTGAAGTGCAACACGTTTGCTGAGCTGCAGGAGAGACTGGACTGCATTGATGGCAGCGAGGAGGTGACTGGCACTTTATATCCATGTTCTTTGTTGTTTTAACGCAAAAGAAAAACAACAGAATAGGTCATCTAGAGCTGCTTGCTGTTTTGAAGGTTTGCTTTTGACAAGATGGACATTATTTGTTGAAATGAGGATTAAAAATGTATTTTTCATCTGTTTAACATTTTCCTTATATGTCTGTAATTTTTGTCTTGTGGTCTGGTTTGGTTTGTGGCAACAATTTTCTTTCCCTTTTAAGATGAGATACAGTTCTTTGTGTTTCATGTTCATCCATCACAACTGTAGTTCTCACTTTTTTAAATAAAAGCAACACAGCTTTCCTTTAGATGATAATCAGATCCAACTCTTCCAATTATTGCCTTGTGGAAATTGCAAATTCAGTTTTTCTCACAGTTCCTTTGTCCCTTTCTGCAGGTTTCAAAGTTTCCTTTTGAAGAGGTTCCAGCGAGCAAACAAAGTGCCAGAAAAGAGTCGTGTCCTTCATCATCTGCAGCTGTGCTAGACACAGAAGCCAAAATAGGTAACTGTTTCATTTATTTCTAATGCTTAATATTAAGGTTACATACAGTATATCTTACAGCAAATTTTCCACTTATTTTTATTAGGAGAAACACCACGAATTAACTTTTATTTAAACTTGTCCTGCCCCTGGTTTCTTCAAGTAGTGACATTTCTCTTCTCAGCAGCAGCGTCCAGGAAGAGGAGCAATGACCAGCAGCTGCAGGAGATCAAGGAGGTGGTGGAGGAGGCAGAGCTGGCCCAGACAATAATTCACAGCCTGGCTCAGGTAGCTGGATGCCCCGTAGTTACCAGCTCCAGGAGTGTGACAGGAAGCAGCAGCATCACCTCTAACCCGCTGAACAGAGCCAAAAGCTTACATGACAGGTGAGGACAGGTGCTGTTCTCTGTTTAGCATCAACGCTTTGGCATTCAGATGTTGCAATCAGCCTCGGGGGTAATCGTTTACGTAAACTGCTTCCTCTGCAGCCATGAGAATCTGAGTGCAGTTGGTAACACCGAGGGAAAGGGGCGCCCTCTGGGATCTCCTCGCCTCGGCATTGCAAGCCTGACTAAAACCTCTGAGTACAGGTGAAGCACACATAAATATATAAATACAACACAGCAGACAATAATTTCAACTGCTTCACAATGTTTTGTTTCAGTAGAAGAAAAAAAATCTTGTTTTCCTTCTCAGGCCTCCGTCGTCTCCATCTCAGAGGAGTAAGGTGTACACTCAGAAGGGTGTGATGCCGGCCACGCCTCCTCAGTCCTCACACACTCTGGCTCAGGACAGCCAGGCTACAGATGCTCTGACTTCAGACAGTAAGCATGGTTTCCAATGTACCCTTTACATTAGTAATAAAACACCAATATCTTCTTTATGATGCTGGTTATGATACGTTTATCTGTTTCTACAAAGCGCAAACATTAAACCCATTTAGTAATATTCTACACCATATTATACAGGGATATCTGACACATCTAAATGAGAAATGAAACAACGGTTTGGCAAACACTGGCCTCACACACACAGAAGCTTTTCTGGAAATATGTGTGGCAGATTTAAATATAATAAAAAGATGTTTGAAACCAACAATGTACCCTAAAGCCATTTTCTTGCAGTTGCATGTCTTTTAAACTTGGAAGGAAAAAAAAGCAGTAAAATTCCAAACATGTGTCTTTGACTCTCCAGACAGTTTGGCTGCAGACAGCGGGCGATCCTCCACTGAGTCGCTGCTGTCCAGGACATCTCCTGCAGGCATGAGTCCACAGGTCCAGGAGGCAGCTCCTTCTCTCTCTGCCAGCCTGGGCTCAGCGGAGACCCTATGCGATGATGACGTTCCACCAATACCTTTGGACACACACAAGGATGGTGATTCAGATTCACACTCCGTCCCTAAAATAAAACAAATGTGACCTATCACATCGAAATGAGGATTACGTCTAAAAATTAAGTATATGGAAAAATAGGCAAATACAATGTTTTGATTAAAAGGTTTGCAAAAATTGCATTTTGTCAAAACATAATGAATAAATGCTGTATCAATGTATCAATTGAATGAACTGTCTGAAATATAACAATAAAACAAAATTATGAAGCACATTTTTGAGCAGTAGCAGCAAAAAACCTGATTTTGAGCAAAAACACCTTAAAATTTGAGATTTTCCCAGTGAGCTAGAAAGATTTTTGTTTCTTTCCAGCTGGAAAATCTCAGTATTCAAATACTATTTGAAGTTTCCTCTTTATAATGACATCAACAAATTCTCAACAAAATTACATAAAATTAGGATTCAGATCAAGTATTATTGTATTATTGTAACCAACAAGACAAATTAAATCATATATCTGGATTCACTTACGATATCAGAATGACCCAGGTATCAAAATGTAGCTTTTAAAGCCAGGAATCTGAAAATGTGATTAGGTCATTTTGACCAAATTTGACGTAATCCTCATTTTGATATGATGGGTCACAAATATCAGCCATATCTACCTTTTAAGTATAATAGTAACTCTTTTTCTCACCCTTCCACCTTTAGGACCAGCAGTGTCTGTTGGAGCAGGAGGACCTCTCTTGCTTGGGCAAGATGAACTGGTGTACACTGTGGTCCCTGGAGGGGAGGAGGACATTGTTACGGTTCTTATTAAAGCGCACGGCTTGGCCTGTCGTCCAGCGAGTATTGTTAGCTTCAACAGTGACTGCGGCTCTGAAGCTGCGCTCGCTTCAGACTCTCAACTCATCAGCATCGTCGGTACTACAGAAGGAGAAAACTATCACGTGCCTCCAGGTCTTGCTACAGCCTCTGGGGTTAAAGAGGTGGTGGCCATGGCAGAGGTTAGTGCCACAATTTAGCTTTTATTTACAAGTAAACTTTAATTAGCTACTTAAAGGCACAGTGTGTAGGATTTTATCAATTCTTTTAGCCGAAATTGAGATAATCACTAATGACAATAAAAAAACATGTCTCTAATCATTGCAGACAAAGACCTTGTTTTATTATTTTTACCCTATAAAAAGCTGTTTATATCTCCATGGTTGCGGGTCACCACTACAGGCAGCCGCCATCTTGTCTACAAAGGCTCATGAAGGACAAACTGCGGCGGCGTCAAAAACGGTTTTATTTGTAATACTATAAATGTAATATTTGTTGTCTGTCATTGTAGTTGGGATAATTTTACTTATTAAAGCTCATAATCTTACCACTTGAAACATCACTAGCCCTGAAGCTGCTGGTAGACATCGCGGTTGGAATTATCAAAGGTTTTTGACACCTGAGAGACACCGTAGCAACTCCTTTGCGTTTGGAAGCAGGGGGTGGGGGTGGGGGGAGGACCAGGGAGGATGATTCAACCACTCAACCATTAGATGTCGCTGAAAACAACAAATCCTACACACTGTGCCTTTAAGATTAACACATTTAATACTAACCAAATCATATATTGTAATCTGTTAAATTTCTACATATCTGACTGTAAGGCTTTCTGTTGCAGGTGGCAATGGCCAAGCTACGGGTTGGTGAACCTTTAGCCACAGGGATGTCTAACTCTGGTTCCACTGTTTCCTCCTGGATGAGTGATCTTAGTGAGGCCGATCAGTCTCTTCACAGTTTCAGCCAGTCTCAGAGTCAGCAAGGAGAGGCTCTGGCTGATCCTGAGATGAGTCTTGAAGCTGTAGGTTTTGGCAAGGCAAACACAAGAAGAGGGAGTCTGGATGGAGAGCTGGTTCTGTCGGAGAACACGTCCGACAAAAGCACGCCAAACAAAGACAAGTTCAGAAAGCTGCCTCCTTCGATGGCTAAAACAAACATTCAAACCCTCTCTCCTTTCAGGAGCACCAAAAGCGTTTACCCGTGTGCGACTGTCAAACCTATGATTATACAGGAGCCTACGATCCTCTCCTCACCCACAAAAGCACAGTTTATGAAAGAACCTATCAAATCCAATTCAGCCATTTTAGCCTCCATTTCCAGTGAGATGAGCTTTGAAGACCCCTGGTTGAAGCGTGAAATGGAAGAGGGAAGGTCCAGAGACCTTGTATGTGAAGTGAAGCCAGAAATAAGGGAGGTACAAACTTTAAAGAACAGCTTGGGAGAGAAAGTTGTTGGTGGGAATGAAGACCAGCAGTGTTTCTGCACAGATGGTAAGAAACATGAGACATGGATTTAAAGAAAAATAATTAAAATATGTAGAAAAAATAATAAAAATATGTATTTCTTCATATCTTTTTTTCTCTTGATTCTTCATCACCAGGTGGGGATCATAGCAGTTCAGGTTCAGGAGGGGAGGTGGTGTCGTCTCCAGACTCCTTTAAGAGAGTGGTGGATGGTTGTGAAATGGTCACTGTTGTTGCCCAAGGTGAATATCTGACTGGTCTCTACAACCCAGAGATCCACCACACGGGCAGCCTTCCCCGTGGGTGGCACCGCCTCAACCACCACGATGGTTTAGACAGTGGACTGGAGTACCGCAATCTTGGCGTCACCACTTCAACTCCCTGCAGTCCGCGTGCCACCCTCGACCGCCTGGGATCAAGTGCGAAACAAGGCTTTTTCTCCCACAAGAAGGGGGGAATCCCACCTTTACCGCCGGTGAGAAAGTCTAGCCTTGACCAGCGGAACAGGGCAGCCAGCCCCCTCCACCAACTCAGCCATGGAGTCTCATCGGTGGGCAGCCCAGCAGATAACGCAGGGACATCTGGGTGTGTCTATGCAGGAATCGCCAGACAGCGTGGCTCTAGCATAGACAGCAGCAGGCTTTTCAGCGCCAAGCTGGAACAACTGGCCAACAGAACAAACTCTCTGGGCCGGGCCCACAGCTCACATGGTGGCTCTCATCACTACGACTGCTTCTCTCTGGAAAGAGGCGAGAGCCTTAGAGGAGGGATGAGAGGGGACACCACATTGCCTCGCTCTGGACGTAGCCTCACTCGTGCTGGATCAGTGTCCTCTCCTACGGGAAACCCCAGCAGCCCTAGTTTTAGTGGAAGTTCTGGTCCAAGCAGCGCACCGCAGTCACCTGCCAAAACCAGCAGCCAGTCAAAGATCTCAGCTGTCAGTAAGTTGTTAATGACCAGCAGTCCTAAAGCCAGGAGCCTTTCTGCTTCCAGCACCAAGACCCTGAGCTTCTCCACCAAGTCTTTAAACCAGACTACCAGCCGCAGCTCCAGCCTTCCACCTAACGGAAAGGTAAGAGGCGAAATCTGTTACCGTATGGGAACACACCCTTTAAAGGGATCCCCGATTAGTTGTAACATTAGACTTTATATGATAAACATTTATTTTAACTGTAAAATAAAGACTGTAAAAAATACTGTAGGATGTTTAGTTTTTATCATTTTTAAACTAAAAGTTTAAAAAATATTTTAACACGGACGGGGCCATTTTATTTACACGCAAAGCATTCTGGGTAAATGATGATATCAACTAGGTCATTGGTGCGAGGCTAACGAGCTATGTCCACCCTGAAGGTTAATCTTGGACAATATCTGATGATCGACTCTTTTAAATGAAACCAGAGCGTTGACAGAGAGGAGAAGGTAGAAATGACTCAGCCTGGAACTGAAAATATAGATGGAGGACAACAGTTTAGCTTGTTAGTCGTGCTAGCGCTGAGCTAATACATGTAAGGCAATATAGCGTCAGTGCTAGCACAAAGGCTAACAGGCTAAGCTGAGGTTCTTCTTCCATGAAGCAGCTCTGCTCTGGTTTCATTTAAAAGAGCCAATCGTCAGATATTGTCCAAGATTAACCTTCAGGGTGGATATAGCTCGCTAGCAGCCTCGCACCGAGGACCTATCCACGTCATCATTTACCCCAGAATGCTTTGCGTGTAAATAAAATGGCTCCGTCCGTGATAAAATATATTTTAAAAAAAATTACAAAACTAAACAGCCTACAGTATTTTTACAGTCTTTATTTTACAGTTAAAATAAATGTTTATCAAATAAAATTTAATGTTACAACTAATCGTGGATCCCTTTAAGACAAAACCACATCAGAGAGTCCTTTTTAAAATCAATACCTAAATGCCATCTGCACCACTTGTTTCCTCAACCACAGAATTCAGCCCAGGGTCCACTGCAGCAGCAGGGACCGGCCCCTGGATCATGGTCTACCCAGTCTCTGAGCCGCAGTCGAGGGGGAAGCCTCACAGCCAAACTGCCTCTGCGGGCTGTCAACAGCAGAATCTCAGAGCTGCTTCAGGGTAGTGCAGGATCTCGGTCTAGGAATCATGTCCAGGGTGGCGGCACAGATCGAACAGAGACGAAGGAAACTGGAGGGACGAGGTTTGTAACTTCTGTTGTATTTACCTCCCATCTACGAGGGTACTTTAATCAGAAAGACTGACAGAAATGTTTCCTAACACATCAAAAATACAAAGTTTGATCAACCAAATATCAATAACAGTTTAAGGTATGTACTTTTCTTATTTGTGGTTCTCAGTGGGGGAGGAGCAGGAGGAGATGGTGCAGGAGAAGAGAAGGTAGCCGTGGTTCAAACGCTGCCTTCTCCCTACAGCAAGATCACAGCCCCAAGAAAACCACACCGCTGCAGCAGTGGCCACGCAAGTGACAACAGGTACAGGACAACAAGAGAGCTTCCAAAACTGTTTGATCTCTTTTAAAAATATATTGTTTTGATTCCCCCCATTTACCAGTGATTTTGCTTTGACCCCAAACAGCAGCGTGCTGAGCGGTGAGCTGCCCCCAGCCATGGGCAAAACAGCCTTGTTTTACCACAGTGGAGGCAGCAGCGGCTACGAGAGCATGCTGCGAGACAGCAGCGAGAATACTGGAAGCACCTCCTCGGCTCAAGACTCCCTCAGCGAGCACAGTTCAGCCACCACCTCCTCCCGACGGAGCTCCAAGAGCAGCAAGAAGAGCAGGAGCAGCACAGGTCAACGACATTTCATCATATTTTATCATCATAAGTGAGAAAACAAATCCTCAGTGTGTCAGCCTTCTGTTCTTTGTAATGAAGCACATTTGTATTTCTCTTATTCAGTAGATCTATAACTGAACAGAAACTACTAAATTAAATTCATGACCTCAGATCCACCCTGTGGCAGCAGGAGACTAACTCAACAGAGAACTGTGGTGGATTTAAATAATTAAAATATCAGTAAATCTCAGCAAAATGTACATTAAGTTGGGATTGTGACAGCACTGTCAGTCCTAAAACATCAAGGTGGGGTGTTGAAAGGATTTTCAGAATGAATTACATTTAAAATTAATTATGATTTATTTATTTATTTATTTATTTATTTATTTATTTATTTATTTATTTATTTATTTATTTTTGCTTTAGTTGTTACAAAAGAGTGGCGTTAGTATACTTAAAATGGATAAAAGTAGCATAATGAATATTGTTACTATGTTTATCAACTCAAAATAATCGGAGGCACGTCTCTGCTGCTGTTGTTTTTTGGGCCAAAAACAGAAAAGTTTGAGAACTCCTGCTATAGAGCATTCATTTCAGCCACTAAGGGTTGTTGAAAGAAACTTTGCTTGACGTATAGAAGAATTTCTCCCTGAACCTGTAACCTACGCTGACTTAGACCAGTGGTTCCCAAACTTTTTATCTTCTGACCCACAAAATATTCATGGCAAAACCTTGTAACCCCAAATATTACTGGTCTGAGTACACAAACTTTGTTAATAACCCTAAAAACACAGGCTTTTTGACAATCTAAACAGCTTGTACACAAATATAAATACTTATTTGTACTTATTTTTGCATTTTTGTAATAACTATAGGGAAAATATTACATCAGCAATTATTTTATTACCCTTTAAATTGATTTCTGGAGATTATCCAAGGTGCTTCATGACCCATAATTGGGTCCCAAGCCCAACTTTGGGAACCAAAGTGCAGTGGTTCCCAAACTTTTCAGCTTTTGACCCACAAAATAACAGTAGTAGAGACCTGTGGCCCCAACTATTTTTAGATGATAAACATTTGTATCAGGTCAACAAAACATGGGCATAGTAACAATATTTTTATACTGCATTTATCCAATTTAAATATACTAACCCAATTCCTTTGTAACAACTAAGGCAAAAATGTAATTAATTCAGAAAATCTTTTTAGGACCCCACCTTGATGTTTCAGGACCCCACTTTGGGTCCCGACCCCAACTTTGGGAAACACTGACTTAGACCACTGTCTACTGCAGGGAGGATATTGTCTACTCATAAGTACTGCATACAAGCTCAATTAAGAAAAAATACATTTAAGAAGAAAATCAGCGTGCTAAATCCCCACCACCAAAAAAATGGTAATTTAAAGTTCTTTTATTTCCAGTTTCTGTTAATTTTCAGTCAGTTTTGGCAAACCGGCTCACCTGAAAAAGGGTAAAGGATAACTGAACAAAGATGAGCCTCTGTGAGAAAGATCCATCGGTTTAAAGCCTGATGAGAAAAACGTGAACCGACAGGCACTAAGTGAAGAAAGCTGTGGCTGCAAGATGTGCCAGAAAGGTGACCTTAACCATCCATCTGTGAAATGGTGAAAGTGAATGTGCCGTTGTACACTGTAATGAATATATATTCAGCAGATCCAACACAAAGAGCCTCCTAATGTACCTGCCAAATGACTTTCTACTAGTTAAGCACGGATATGGATATGTGCATATATTCAGATGGGAAAAGCAGCTCTGCTTTCTGTGTGTCTGATTATTGATTTCTGCAGGAATTAGACTGTCAGTCTAAATAAATAAGCTGGAACCTTTCCTTCATTTAGCATAAAATCAGCATTTGTTCCGTTTGCTTCATCTACAGCAGATTCTGTGAATCCAAGAGACACTTTCAAGCTTTCACAGTACGACACAAGGGGTGGTGATGGAGTTAGCTCTGATTTAAGATCCTTAAAACAGTTAAAAAGCAATATCCTACCATGTTGTTAATTACATCTCCAGCTGAGTCCCTCTTCGTGCCTCGTTTCCATTTGATGTGATTCACTTGATTGGATTCTGTGATTTTCTTTTTCCATGTTTCTCAGACTCTATCTCCTCTCTGCAGACTCTTGGTCTTTCTCTGTCCAGTCCTGTTCTGTGTCCTGATGAAGTAAAAAATGTCTCTGCTTGACCTTTTTGTGCCGCACCGAGCCCCAAAGACAGCCGCAGCCTTATTAAAATCACCACTTTCCATTTATTCTCACACTTTTATCTGTCCGTTCCTTTGATAAGGCTCATTCTTGTCGACAGTGCTGGCAGTTTGTATGGAGCGTGTGTGTGTGTGTGTGTGTGTGTGTGTGTGTGTGTGTGTGTGTGTGTGTGTGTGTGAGCTTGCCTTATCAGTGTGTGTGTTCATCCAGTGTTTAACCTACAGTGCAGATTGCAGACTGATCTGCTGCAAGCGTCATTTTTTATTTCAAAATCACATTTTAACATCTATTACACAGTGTAGTTATTTCTCCCAGCTTCTGGAGAGCACAACTGTTTGATTTTCAAAATGATATATTTTATTGAATTATTTATCTCCTTGTTGAGTTTTTACCTTCAGACACTATGCTCTAGTTTTAGATTCCTAAACTGTTTTTATTTTTCTTTTGTATTTGATATAGACCGACACCCATTTTAGGACAAAACTAACTACAATCATTATTTCTGTCAGCAGTTTAGGGTGGTAAATTGTACTGAACATATTGTATATTTGTTTTTTATTTATTTATTATTAAGCTGCCTTGACTGCCTGACATAAAATGACAAAATGGATACAATCTGCAGCAGGTTATGAGGGTTGTGTGTACGTACAGTAGGTGCTATATGAAGCACGAGTCTAGGGTTCTGCAACCTTTGCAGTCGATTAAAAGCTGAAATTTTGCCCATTGGTTCACTAATAAAATGTGTCCGGAACCACAAAACCTCGAGTTTGTTGAAGGGGGGCTTTTCCAGCCGGTGGTGGTGACATAACAAAACTAAAAATATATATTACTGTATATATATAATACTGTATATATTATTATAGTTCTCTTATCTTCAAGTATTGTTTAGGACAAAAGAAAAGACTATTTATACATACAGTAATTATGCAGGCGTGTTATTTTCTTATAGTTTTTTTTCCCGCTCTCGAAGGAGTAAAACGCTTCTCCCTTCTCTCCTGCCCTGCCTTATCTGTCCCTGCTTTGCTGCTTGGAGCCTTCTCTACATTTTTCATCTGAAACCAGAAATTATGGATATCTTTATTTTTATGGACTTGGTTAGCTGGTCTCTCAATAAAATTTTTGGAACAAAGTTTATTTTTCTTCTTCCATGGGAGGACATGTCAAAGGTGGGTCCTCTGTTCTCCTCTGTTCTGGATATACATTTGGACTCAGATCACTGGATTCTACAGTTTGGCTGGGTGGTCTCCCAGGGTGGACTGTCCAACTGGATGGACGGCTGTATTCTTTCAGCACTCGGACATTTTGCCATGAGCGAGCTGGACTCAGTCTGCAAGCGGTTCTACTGAGGGCCGCTGGCCGGCTGTGGTCCCTGGACTTTGCTGGCCAGATGGAATTCATCTTGGAGAAAGCTGATGGATCGGATCTGTCCACACCATTTTGCTTGATTGGATTCGCCACCTTGAGAGTACCAACAGACATTAAGGCAGAGGGAAAATTGTTGTTGTCTGCCTGTTCTGTTGGAAAAATATGCGTTGTTCAAAATGTTATGTCCGAATGAACAGGATTCAGCTGGATTTCTTGTTGAAACTTTATTTTTGATCTTCTGACTTCAATCAGGTTCACAGAACAGCACTCAGCAGCACAGGCCTCAGCGAACAACCTTGAGCCAAATCAAAACAAACACAGGAGTTCTGCTCTGAGCAGACACTCTGCAAAACACTGACAACTTCTTTCTACTATAACAATGAATTCAGCTTATAATGTTCATCCCTTCCTGGTTACACCCCAGAGGTGTTACCTTTTACATCAGATGTCAGAACGTCACTCAGTTTTGTTTAGGCTAAGAGAAAGAACACATGATAACACACACCAACTCTTATTCTGTTATGGCCTTAAAGCTGTAATGATCAGAAAGTATAAAATACAAAACTGAATCTAATATTCAATGAATCAGTTACAAAATTTCTTCAATCCCTCTCTTGACATATATAAAATATGTCAAAACTAAAAGAAATTTTATGAAAACTTTATAAAGAGAAGTTATAACATCTGTTGTCACATCAGGATATTTCTAAACATTTCCCAACTCCAGAAATTCAATTTTCAATCCTCCCAGACATAAAAATATTCATCATCAGGGATAAGACTCATAATGCTCTCTTTCCACTCTTGTTTCTTCTTCTCTGTCCATTTATTTTTATTCCTCATCCAAAGGTTCTGTAGCTTTGTGCRATAATCTGAACGCTCCTGTTCTCGTTTCACAGGGTCTTCAAAGCGGCCTCCGATCCTGTATACTTTTTTCTTGGATGTAGGTTTTACATTCTCATTCTCAGTTGATGGTTTGGGTTCCTCAGATGGAGAAGAAGTGGTCAGTTTTTCTTCAGTTGTAGGTTGGGGAAATCCATTTTCTGGTTCCTCTGTTTGTGATGTTGATGAATCCAGATGTTCTTCCAGTTCAGCAGCTTGAAGTAACTCCCCTCTCTGTGGTTCTGGTTCCTGTCGTTTGTTTCCAGCCGGAACTTGGTTCAGGAAATACTTCATGTCTAACAGCTCCGATCAATGTCGGTTCAAAGTCATTCCATCAGACTTGAACAGATGTTTTCTCTCCCAGAAGAGATCAAAGATGTCCACATACTGTATCTCACAGAGTGGTCAGCACAGAGCTTTTCCAAAAAACCATTAAGAGCCAACAGTCTGCTGAACCTCTCAGCCCCTCCTCTGGCTGTGGGAACAGGCCCACTGAGGAACACATCCATGTTGAGATTTTTAACTGCATTCAGCAGCAGAATAAAATCCTTCTTCAGGATTTCTGACTGTCGATTCGGAACTTCATCACTTCCTGTATGAATGATGAACTTCTTCAGAGTTGGATATTTGCTGAGATTTCCAGAATCTTCTCTGTGAGGTCAGATACTTTATCAGCAAAACTCAGAACTTTGACTTTTTTCTTGTTCCAGAAGCCTCTGATCTCATTCACCATTTTATCTGTGATGATCAGCATTTCTTGATTCTTGAAAGTCTCTTTTTGGACTTGCTTTGTCTTTGAGCTGGATCTGATCTCAGGTCCCTCTCTGAGGTCAGCAGATGAACTTTGTTCAGACTCACCAGTTTCTTCCAGTGGTGTGAATCTGTTTGAAGAAACACTGCTTTATTTCTCTGGCCGTTATCAGGTGTTTTGATTACAGCCTGTCGTTTTCTTCTCCTTGCTGGTGGAGAAAAAGCATTTCTCTGTAATTCTGGCCATTCATTGTGATCTAAGAGCTGAATCCTTCCTGAGAGATTTTTTGGTCTGGCACAAAGAGAGTTCCATACAGCTTCACCCTCAGAAGCAGCTTCCATCTCCTCTCCATGTTGATCTCTCCTCTCAGCCTTCTCACCCATTTTAACACATGTTGAGTCCTCCAAAGCATTCATCTCTTCCAAACGATAAATCTTGAGCTCCAACACGTCACCTTTTGGAGAAGCTGGCAGAAATCCTCTTTGGAAAAGWAAGGAGGCATCTTGAAGCTTTTCTGTACTCACTCTCAGCAGATGATGTTTCAAAAATATTCTCAGGTTCTTCAACAACAGCCAAAAATAAAATCCAATGTTCCCTGCTTATTCAAGATCATCCATCACGTCGGGGTCACCGAATTGTTGGAAAATATGTGTTGTTCAAAATGGTATGTCCGAATAAACAGGATTCAGCTGGATTTCTTGTTGAAACTTTATTTTTGATCTTCTGACTTCAATCAGGTTCATTCAGCTCTCAGCAGCACAGGCCTCAGCGTACAACCTTGAGCCAAATCAAAACAAACACGGGAGTTCTGCTCTGAGCAGACACTCTGCAAAACACTSACAACTTCTTTCTACTATAATAATGAATTCAGCTTATAATGTTCATCCCTTCCTGGTTACACCCCAGAGGTGTTACCTTTTACATCAGATGTCAGAACGTCACTCAGTTTTGTTTAGGCTAAGAGAAAGAACACATGATAACACACACAAAAAAAAAACTCTTATTCTGTTATGGCCTTAAAGCTGTAATGATCAGAAAGTATAAAATACAAAACTGAATCTAATATTCAATTAATCAGTTACAAAATTTCTTCACTTCTGTTCCCAAACAACTGATAAGAGAATCTGGATCTCCCCGGCAACTGCCTTGGATCTGTTGGCAAAATCCTTCCTGGTTGGAATATGTCGACATGGCTCCCTTCTCCCTTCCCCCCTCTGTATGATCTGATTCCTGAGGAAGCTGAGGCCACACAGAATGAACAATTGACCATCAATATTCTGAACTTTGGCTGCGCTGGCCTTGGGGACTGGATTCTTCAGGCCCCTTTAAAACTCACTTACTCCTCTGGCTAATAATCTTGTTCTATGCAGAGGTTTTTTCATAAACATCATAGTGTGTCACAGTGTTGATATGATGTTTTTGCTTTTTTCCTCATTTTCCCATGTGTGTGTGTTTTTTTTTTTTAGTTTTTCTGGTTTTCTGTTTGTCTAAAGGTAGCACAACTGTGTTTGCTGCATGACCTGTCTAAACTGCCCCCTCCCCTGAATGTACAGCACCTTGTGAATTTATTTCTGTGAAAGGCGCTATATAAAAAAAACTTTACTTACTTACTTACTTATCTAATCTAGTCTTAAAGGTACATCAAAAAATCCTGATTTGAGAGAAAGACCATACGCTAAGGCTGGAAGTTGGATTATTGAAGTGGCTATCAGGCTACTAGCATGATCTAATCCAGTGGTTCCCAATTTATTTTCCGCAAAGTCCCCCTTTCCAAGCCAGCCCCCTCCCCACAATCCCTCACTACTCCCCAGTTCTCCCAAAGACACATTCAACCTTTATCTTTCAAAATAACTAAAGGATAAAGTGAAAAGTTATAAACTTTTATTTGGGAAAAATGAATTATGCAGAGTTTAATTTCTTTAAATTGACTTGTTTTGGTGATTTTTACAAACAGTAAATTGATATTTTCCACAACCTCTGAGAAGACTAGGTTATTTGCCCTCCTGTGCCCCCCAGGTTGGGTACCATTGATGTAAACAAGATGTTTGCTTCTTGTAAATAAAAAAGCCAATAAGTTCAATCTCATGTTAGCTTTGGTCAAAGCTTGACAGAGCTGCTGCAGAGTTACAGACCGGCCCAGTCATAATTAATGTTTAAATGACTGTTAACACAACTTGAACAGACACATCTTTGTCTGAATTCATTTTAGGCATCACTCAGGGAGTGAAACTCGATAAATAAAGCTTCATTGCACCAATTTATTTTTGTGAAATTGAAAACCTTTGTGTGAAAAACTCATTTTCAGGTCTCCAGCGTCGACGTCTCATCCCAGCTTTGACCTTGGACTCCTCCTCCTCTTCATCACCTTCTCAGCGCTCTTCTAAACAGGCCATCACGTCATCTTCCTCGTCCTCCTCGAGTCCAGGAGCATGCTGGGTAGATGGCCCACTGGGACCCCCCGCGTCCTCCAACCACCGCGGGGCGGCCACAGCAACAGAAACATTTGAGATCAAAGTGTACGAGATAGACGATGTCGAGCGACTGCAGAAGAGGAGGGACAAGGGAGGAGGCAAGGTAAGAGGAAGAGGAGGAGGTCAGTGCAAAGAGCAGGAGGCCTATCACACAGCACGCCTCTAAAATCGGTCAGATGAATAATAGCTGAGGGATGCTGTGAAAAGATATATGTTCTGCTGATAGAAAATCAGAGGAGGAAGTTGATGAAAATGAGAGACAACAATAAATAAATACAATATGAATGATTTTCACAGATTCTGTCAGAACAATAAATCCTCTTTCCTTCTACTTTTTGGCTTTAGTTTACAGATAATTACAAGCTATCATCAGGATTTTGTACTACAAAGTACATTCAGATAATCATGACAAATGAATGTGTGGTGGTTTCTTTGGGTTTCCATCATTAAACCTTTGTGTGTTTAAGGGAGAAAGCTTTGCGAGCTTTGGAATGAAGGAAAGAGAACAAAGCAGGAAGTATAGATTTTTCCTGCAGTGGCTTCAAGAAAGCCACTTAACCTCCAGCTGCTCCGATGAAGCAGCCCCGCGTCCCAAAAAACCTGCCTGTGGTCCCACTGAGAACCACAGGTTGGGGTGCATGTGTGCGACTGTTAAACAGGCTGCTGCTGAACAAGAGCCACATAAACGCCTCATAAATTCATTCCTCCGCAAATATAAAAGGTAAATCAAATCCCTTTCTGTGCATCTGTCAGGAGGTGGTGTGCATCAGCGCCAAGCTCCGGCTGCTGGAGCACCGCCAGCAGCGAATCAGTGAAGTCCGAGCCAAGTACCAGTGTCTGAAGAAGGAGCTGGAGCAAACCAAACAGCACTTGATGCTGGAGCCACACAAATGGACCACTGAGTGTAAGTGAAGCACGTCGGGGAGCGTGTGGAGGTGTGAGAGAAGAAGATAAAATGAAAGACAGCCAATGGTTAAAGAATGAGTTTGAGGCAATGGCTTCTTGAAAACAAATGTACCGACCTAATTAATTGTTTGTGTTAATTATGAACCATAAAATACATAAACTACATGCAGCACAGTTTTAACATATGTGCTCTTCTTTTCCGTCTGCATTCAGTTGAGCTGCAGCAGCCCTACGATGTGGACTCTGTGGAGTATTTAGAAGCTCTGGAGAGCGTGACAGACAAACTGGAGACCAGAGTCAACTTCTGCAAAGCCCATCTGATGATGATTACCTGCTTTGATGTTTCCTCAAGACATCGGTAGACGGATGAAGTGATGGTGAGGAGGAAGACTCACAGCTGGAGTCAATAAGATGCAAATATTCAGACCGTTTGCAGCAAATATTTAAACATATTGTAAAAATAAACCTCTTTTTAACTATTGCTGCCCAGCACGTCGGGTGATTGGAAATAAGGAAGACAAAGGACCCATGGAGAAAGTGACCCTCAATGACAATCCTCCAGGTGTGAAACAGAAAGAAAGATGCAAGACAGATAAAAACTATTATGTTTAAATGAAATATGGCTCAAAAAGGCAGAAAGATGGTTGTGAGAACATTACAAAAAAGGTACCAGTGAACGAATAAAGATGCCTCAAACACTGAGCTGAACTTTAAGGAATGGACGCAGAAGAAACAAGACAAAAATGGACATTTACAAAACATGGGGGAAGAACAAACGTAACTTTTTGAAAGAGCACTTTTGACCATAAAAAGCAGCGTGCTCGCCTCAGAGTGATGCAGTTATTGTACTAACTCACCGAGAAGAAAAACAGGTGGAGATGATTTAGATAAGTGCCTTGTGAACATTTATAACAAAAACCAAGACCAACTCTCCTTTGCTCTGTTTTTTTAATGTACATGCAGTATGTCTGGTGCTAGCATAGTAAAACACCACAAAGTCGGCGTCCTTGGAACATTTTACATTATCGCCTTTTCCAAAATGTGATGTTTTCTCATGGTTTAGTGTTTGATAAAATGAGAGCCAACATTCTATGTTTCAGTCTTTGGTAGGAGATCTGAAACAAAGACCTGCAAGATGAAAACACCAACTTGTTCAAAATGCAAAAATAAACAAATGCACAGAATCTGTGTTAAAGCAGGAAGAAGTATAAAGTGAATTTGTGATGAAGTTTACTCCTAAATGATTCTGACAAACACAAAGTCTGGATTTCTACCATTCGGTGCATCCCTGCAGTTTGTCTCCTGATCCAGATGCACACTGCAAAAAATGTCCACCTAACCAAGTTTTAAAATCTTATATCCAGCTATAAAGTCTTTTTGATCTTGTTTTGAGACTGATTTACTAAACAGGAACTAAATGTGTAAGATTATTTGTCGTTAGTCTGAAAATTTGACTCAAATTAAGTCAAAAATTTCTGCCAATGGAGTAAGAAAATTTTACTTGGTAAGATTCTTGAAATACTTGATTTGACTCAATTTTTTTCTTATTTCAAGAATCTTACCAAGTAAAATTTTCTTACTCCATTGGCAGAAATTTTTGACTTAATTTGAGTCAAATTTTCAGACTAACAAGACAAATAATCTTACACATTCTGAAAACAAGATTATTATTCGTACACAATCAGTTCTTGTTTAGTAAGTCAGTCTCAAAACAAGATCAAAAAGACTTTTTGGCTGATATAAGATTATAAAACTTGGTAAGATGGACAGTTTTTTGCAGTGCAATGACTTCCTCATGTTCACAAAGCAAAGAAATGTCACAAAGAGTTAAAAAAAGATGCTGATCTGTTCAGAGCATCCCTCCACTGACAGACTTTACCTGTGTGTGTTCTGCTCCGTTAAAAAGAAACTGAATGATTTGTCAAAATGTGTCTTTTTTATCTTTTCCTTTTTTTAACTGAGTCTAATGGGACCATAAAGAGACTATGCAGGACAAAAAACCCATTCAAATAAATGTAAAGAGACATTTCAAATTAAATTATGAGCAGGAAACTAATTCAAAGTATGCACATATATATATTAACCTGTAACGTCTTTGAAATCCTGAATCACGAGAGCTAATTACTGAAATCAGGATTCATTTTTATTTCAGATGTCGGCTAAAAGTTCTAAGATAACCTTCCAGGATTGTAAAGATACAATTTATTAATAACTGCATATACAAAATGGAAGAAAATCTGAGAAATGAGAAAAAACTCCTGGTTTTGTAGGTGTAGATCTCTGCCTGGTTCCATTTATTTTGGATGAATAGCAACATTTCAATTTGTTAATATTTCTATCTATGGTGCTTGATGTTTATGATCTAAATGTTTGTACAAATATAAATATATGACAGAGTCTGTTTCCCTCAAAAATACAAAAGAGTACCCTTCATATGCTTCTTCTTCATCAAAGTCTTCATCACTGCCGTTGGCAAAATAACCAGCTTTTCCTCAGTTTGGCTTCACCCTGCAAGCAGAACGCTCTGAGATCTTATTGATCATCTTTGAGCGCTAAAATGGAATAACTGACTTTAGGGTGGAAATTATACAACAATAACAGGATGATTTGTGGAAAGTGTTGTAAATTAATTTAACTGGACTAATGGAAAAAGAAAATTGACGCTGTTATTTCTGTCTACGCATGAGTTTATGCATCACTTTACTGCTGAAAAAAACTAAAAATAATTTAAACTGTTGGAAAACGACTGGATTCATAATTCTTTTTATTTTTTAACAGCAGCAGGTAGAGCAGCCTGTTGACAACCTGCTGTGATCTACAGATCAACATGCAGGTCATGAATGAAAGTTTATTTATTGTTGCACATTAAGTTTCTTATTTATCTTTACCTTAAAAAAGTTACTATGCATTTAAGAACAATAACTGTACACATTTTGCTGAACCCATGTCATATTTAAATATAGAATCCTGTGTTCACACACATGCTCATTTTTATTATTATTATTTTTGTTGATTTTATTTGCTCCTCTTGTTTCTTTTCAGGGTTTCTCTCCTGAAACGTTTACCCTCTGATTCATCCCAGTCAGGTCCACCGGTGTGAGAGCACAGTTTTTATAGCTCTGCTGCTGTTCACCACCACAGGGGACAGAAACGGAATAAAGCAGGATCTGTTGAAATTGTAAACTTTCAGCTTTAACTCAGCCAATTTACCAAAAACTGCTTTGAAAAGACAGTTATTCACTTTACAGTGTTTGAATTTTCACCGGTTAAATGAATCTTAGCACAAGAAAGGAAAATTGTGTTTGGTAGATAATTTTTTGTTGCAACAATGCTTCATGGCAATAAATCTATAAATAATAAAGCCTGTAGTTTCCCTTTTAAATGGTGCCACATTTGTAAGGAACATGCATTTGTGGGATGAGAGGTAGAGCTGAGTGTGCGTTCCAAATTTTAAAAAGTTGATGAACAGCTTATTTTGCCTTTGACTCATTCGGTGTTAGGACTGGTTGATTTAAGTTTGAAGAAACAAGACATATTTGGCATTTTAATCATTTATTCATTTAACAAACAGGAACCTCAGGAGCATTTGGATTGGTAGCACCTGGGGGTACCAGAAGCTCCAAACAAGAGTCAGTAGCAACAGCAGAATAAGCTGTTTGACAGAGATTTGGCAAATTTTTCAAGTTAACAACCCACATACTCAGCTCCACTGCTCATCCCACAAATGCAAGTTCCTTACAAATGTGGCTTCATTTAAAAGAGAAATTAACAGGCTTTCCATCAGTATAAAATTTATTGCCAAGCAGCATTGTCACAACAAAGGAATAACTTCCCAAACACACATTTACTTACTTCTTGTACCAAGTTTAGATCTAGTCGATTCATTGATCAGTTTCATGACAAGATGCCAGTTTCCCAAAGACAACTAAAACTAGACATGGGTTTTTACGATGTAAAAACAAGTGTGCATTGCCATGTAGCATGTCATTGCAGCATGGCTTTGCCTGCAGCATTGGACTTGCAGAAGGAACTTTGACCAAGTTCAAATGTGTTTTCTATACAAGCTTGTGCCTGTCACGTCAGCAGGTGTTTGTAATTAAGGTAATCGTGTGACAATATGAAGTTTGAAGAGATTTTTTTGTTAAAGTTGCTGTAGCTGGGTTTTGAACCCTGATCTCCCACATGAAAGTCCATGACATAGACCATTAGACCAATGGAGCTGTGGCAGAAGGTGGTGGCAGGGGCTGGTTTGTATGTGTGCAGAAAGAGGCCACATTGCCAATACAATTATTGACACAAAAATGCATAATATTACAACAACAGAGCAGTATTAAGATAATATTATAGTAAAACATCAAAATACAATCATATTAGTACTGTAAACACTGAACTACTGAGTTGAAATATTAAACTACGGTGCAGTACCAAGTTGAGTACAGCATGGTGCAGTATTGGACCAATACAAGGCTCCGTTGACTGCCATTATAATTCATTAAACATTAATATTTCATAAACTATAAGTTTTACAGGCACCAAAAGGCATAGCCATCATTTGGCACAGGGGCTTTACAGATATAAATTACAATGGCAGCTCTAGGACAAAGTATGCAAGAGGAGAAGCATGGCAAAGTTGAGATGACTTGGATGGGAAACGAATCACAATAGTGTGCATTACTGATAACGAAGCACTGATGGAACAAAGTCAAAAACTCTCCTGAGTTTGTCGACGTATCATCAAAGTCTACAACTAAGAGACGCCTGTATGAATGTAAACACAGACGCTTTATGTCTAAATTACAAACCCAACAAGCACTTTTCAGGCTGTGTAACAGAATGTAGAACACAAACATGTGTACATAAACGATGAGCATGTTTTTCTTGAAGAGCTGAACTAAAGCTGGAAGTCTACACAGTAGTCCCGATGTTTAAATATAAATAGATGTGAGCCTGACTGGATGTGGAAACCAGACAAATGTCGTAAGAAACAGCAGAAACTTTTAATGAAATGTTTGTATCCATATGAACAACAGCCTTGTGTAATTAGCAGCTGATGATGTTGGAAACTCAGACTTCAGCCCGAGCTTAAAGTCTGTTCCTGTTTCCAGTGTGAAGATGCTATGTGGGAGGTTTCATCTCTGATGTATCACTGCCAAATTTACTGAGGTAGCACTTTATAATTCCAGCAATAACTACAAGCCATCGGACAGTTTGGTGTCTTTATTTAAAGCTAATTTAAGAGTTCATGTGGTGTTTTTAAACCAAATTAGTGCCCAAATACCATCTCTGTCAAATTCAATAATGTAAACCCTTAGCTTTAAAATAAATATATATACAGTACGTGCTGTTACACGTTTTGGAAAAACCATTCAATAATTATAATGTGCTATCTGAAAATCTGACACATAGCATCTTTAAGTTTTAATGTCAGACCACATTTACCCAAAACAGATGCCATAACTATAAATAAGAGAGTTGTACAGCTTGTAAAACAATCAAGATAAAGACTCCAAAAAGTTATAAACTGTGGCAAATATACATAATTAGAAAAAAAAAAAAACAGAACAAATGAATGAATTTGCCATGCAATAACTCCAATCCTGTTTGAGTTTCCTTCATATTTATAACATTGTAAAGTCCTCTGCAGAGTTTCTGCTTTGTGCAGTGTGGTCTGACATGTTGTGTTGATGGAAAACAATGGAGGGTTGTAAATAAAGGAATGTATTGAAAGAGTTTAAAATGTGATTCCTCACTGATGGACAGACATTGTTGTGAGTCCATATCAGTTCTGATTAAATAATCACATTAACACAGCAGAAATTATTTAGAAATAGTGGTTAAAGGGACGTGAAACAGTTTAGCAGAACCATGCCCACCAATAACAAAAGGGAGAGGAAGACAACATCAACACAGGTAGGAAACTATGAAAAAACAAAATAAGAAAAACAGCAAACTATTAGATTTTGTACGAGTGGTGGAGAAAATAAGATATAAAAATGATTAAAGTTGGGGGCTTTGTAGAATTTCTGGAAATAAATTTAATTTGATAAAAAAGAGGCAAAAGAAATCTCCTCCAAGCCATTTTAACAAATAACATGCAGTCATTGTCCTCCACCATGATTTCTGTCTGCTAAGTCACTCAGGCCAACCTCCAGCAAGTGCTATAATCACAAAATGAAGCTGAGGCTCCTGGGAAAGCTTCACTATTATTCATTTATAAAGCAATGAATAATGAATAAGATGACAGCTAAAAGAATACTGAACGAAATAAGCTGTTGTGTCCGTCTAATAGTTCAACAAAAACATCAGATCTCCTCTGGAAATTAAAATGTTACATTTTATTCTGTTTTAATTTTCCTGGTTTGTCTTGAGCAACAAATCGAGGCCATTATGTGATTTAAAAAGATCTCTGCGAAAGCAGACAGCTTTTATTTTAATAAAAATGAAAAAAGCTCAGTAATGTGTAATTAAGTTCAGTTAGTCACAGGAGACGCTGATTTTCTTCACCTTCACAAAGTCCTTTGGTTAATTGTCTCATCTGGTTCAGAGGAAACCAGACTAAAGATGAAAACAGGATCATTATTAAGATTATGGAGCTCCTTGGGATTTTATAACGTTCAATAACATGTCTGTATTTTCTAAAGAAATACAGTCAACAGCTATCTTTATGGGGACCTTGCACTGACTTCCATTAATACAGCCTAACCCCTGACCCCTAAACCTAACCTCAGGTACACACCAGACCCTAAATATAACCTAAACTCAAATCACACCCTAGTCCTAACAACCCCTGACCCATCAGTGGCATTTGCCCCCATGGGGACTACGCTTAGGTCCCCATAAACACGCCAAAAATGGTCCCTAGTAGTACACACATTCTCATTCACACACTTGGATTTTCCCTGGACAGGAAATGCTGTCATCGGTTTACAAAAGGCTGATTTTTGAGATTAACGTGGGAAGTGTCCGTGAACGTGTGTGGGAAAAAAAATTAAATCGCAGACACACTCTAGTCTCACACAGAGAAACACACACACACTCACACAGACACACAAACAAACGGGGATTAGCAGGGGAAGTGTGTGTGATGGGTATACACACAGGATGATGGATGTTTTGAAAACCTGACTTTACTAAACCAGCAAACACACACACACACACACACACACACACACACACACACACACACACACACA